AGTTTAACCCCGACCGCTGGGACACTGATAGGGTCAAAGGAAGACACAAGGCTGCCTATATCCCATTCGCCATGGGCCCGCGTATGTGCATTGGGTTCAACTTTGCCTTGCAGGAAATCAAGGTTTTCCTTCCGAAACTTATCTTCCGGTATAAGTTCACTCGGGAGGGCAATGAACCCATCGAGTACGATCCAATGTTCCAGTTGATTCGGCCTAATAACCTCTATGTTCGCGCGGAAAAGAGGGTCAAGTGGCCGGCGAAGTCGGAGACCTCGGCAGCGGAAAATGTTTGAGAGCATTCCAGCATATAGATGATAGATGTTGAAGTAACAGGGTTAGACAGCGGCAATTGTTTTGAGAATAGAATGTACATTACTTCGTTTATAAGAAAGAACTTCCCATCTAGCAACCTAGAGACCTTTCCTGAGGTGTAAAAGAGCGCATCCATCAAATATTGCCTTCGCCTAAGCATTCAGCAAATACTATACCCATAGCAGATGGTCTTTGCAAGATCGAGCCCAGACGATATGTGCAGTACCTACCACTGAATAAAACTCAATGCCGGGATAAAATGCCTTGAGGCTAGAAACGGATATACTACATCCTCCCAAAAGACAAGGCGAGCGAGATGGAGGCACCGTAAATGTCACATGTTCAAAGATTAAACATATAAGATGAATATACTAGAAGAGAGGTATAATGAAACGGGGGCTGAAAGGCACCAAACCGAAGACATGTGCAATAGTTAAAGAAAAAGCCTGAAGAATGAAGCTGATAATCCCAGCATTCAAAATTGTGGAAAATTGAAGCATCTCATCTCATGTCATCATCTTCTTTTCATCGAGTAGTACAAATAACAAGACTATGGCTCGGAAGTAATGGGCTTTATCTCTGATGATTCCGGTGCATTTGTAGCTGTCTCCAGGACTGTACTTTGCGGACGCCACTTGGTGAGAACTTTGCCCGCAGCAGGTCGGGATTCCTCGTCTTTTCGTCGCATGTTAGATATATAATACGAATGGATATTAACGGGAGAGTATACTTACAAGTCTGGTAGACATCCTCTACAGTGTTCAAGCACATCTCTCGTGCTGGAGGTCGGAACATGATCAGGTACCTAAAAGAAAGTCAGCGAGCTTCTTGATAGTAAAAAGGGCGGAAGATGACATACATCAATGATTGAACACAAAGGTTCACACGCTCTGGATCTTTGGCCAAGCTGGCCACCCGCTGAGTGATCGCAATCGTGATCTCAGGGACTTCACTGAGAAAGCGGACCAGCACCTTGATATCTCGAGAGTCCAGATAAGCCAGGAAGCCATCCAAAAGTCGGGTGGCCCAGGTATCGTAATTAAGAGCTACAGTCGGTTCCGAGTCTTCCTCGGTGCCATCACGCTGATTGGCAGCACTCTTCATTTGGATCCGGTCATTGTACCACTCTTCATTGAGCCATATAACGGCAATGTTAAGTCGTCCTCGGAAATCCTCCAGGATGAACCGATAGAGCGTCTCTCGGATCGACTCAGCAATGGTCGTTTGCCTACGTACGGCGTCTCCCTTGGTTTGCCGGTCATTTTCGAGACCGGCAGGAGCCCGCGTAGCCAACCGAGCAAGGAGAACGGACCATGCGTCCCGGTCAAATGTACTGCCTGCTAATCTGGCGAACCCGAGCTTTTGTTGGCTTTGGCCCTTGGCAGGAGCAGGTGATGTTTCGGCTGCGTTCAACATGCCGAACACACGCGCAACAGCACTCCGTCCAATTTCTCCGGCCTCTTCTTCGCTCAATGGAGGTGGCTGTGGTAGGACAAAGGGGCCCAAAGAGACCAGTTCTGGCTGTAGATCTGCTACCTCCGCCGCGACGGCACTGGCCTCTTCTGAGACAACAGATGCTACGTCCATCGGCTGGTATTCAGGCTCATAGTCATCGTCCTCATCTTGGGCGGCTGCTTTCTGTTGCTGCTGCCGTTGCAAGTTTTGATCTTTGGTGATTGTCTGATATCGAGCACGAACAGCCTAAGGCCATGTCAGCAAAGGAAAAAGCTTCAATATCATGGCAATACTTACATCGACAGCTTGTGCAAGTGTGGAATCATGTACCTGCGACAAAAGAGGTACAACAATCTTGAGAACTAGGTCAATTGGCAGCTGTTTTACGTCGAAAGAGGACAGTCCAGTGTCCTCGGTCAAGGTGAAGAGTCGGTCGAAGCTTGCAGGCCCCGGTGCCATTGGAGGGATCTTAAGCATTGGAGGAGGCAAAGCATTAAGACGTGCCCGCTTAGCGTTGTCAAGCCCGTCGGTAGGTTCATTTGGCAATCCACGTTTCCGCGAAGCGTCATCGGTCGCCTCAAGTCGCGATTGCATTAGACGTTCAATGTACGCTTGCATCCGACCCGCCAGGGGGTGGTTCGGATTCCTACAAATGTTAGGTAAAACCACTTTTTCTTTTTGCGACCAGGATGACAACATACTTTTTTAAGATATTGATAAGCAGAGCTCGAGCTGTGCGCTCCATGGACTTGACGCTGACGCGAATTGTCGGAGTAAACGGCGGGCGGACGTGTTTCGCCGGATAAAACTCCAAAACCGCATTAATGATCTTGTTTGCTACGGACTGGCGCGTCCGGATGAGAGGCGCCAGGCAGTTTAAGGTCGCGTTCACAAGAAGAGCATCACTGGCTTGTGTCAGCGCCACCATGAACTCGCGACATAAGTTATTTGATCCTCATACCTAGTCTCTTCTTGGAAAACATCGAGGAGCCGATCGAGGAGGCCTGAGGATTCCGCTTCCAAGTTTGGTATTGACAGAACAGCATGGTTTCGGGGAACAACGGCTAAAGACGTCTCATTCTGGTCCGGTCGCTGATCAAAGTTAGTATCAGTATATTCAAGCCTGTATAGCTCGCAAAACATACCCTGGGGTCGGAGATCAACCCAGGCGTCTGAACCTGGACCACACGCTGGATGAACTTGGCACAGCAAAGCTTAACCGGGCATGGGAACGAGTCCATTCTCCTAAGTATGTCCTGCTTAATTGCACTCATCATCTCCCATGACTTGCCGTCCTGTGGTTGGTTCACTCTGTTGGTATTGTTAGCTCTGTACCAAGTTTGCTTTCGGAGCGTGCTCCTGCGTCGCAGCCACGAAAAGCTTGACAATAACCTACACATGTCTGAAGACGAGGGGATACAAGCTAGCTGAAGTCTGCACTAAGCTCTGTAGGACTGTCGTGTCTGTCTCCGGCAACTCTAGAATCTCACGGATTGTCTGCAGGACATTGGGTGCCAGCTGCTCCTTCTGCGCAACAGCTAACATTGGGCTAGCAAAGGTCTCTGCGAGAAAGTTTGCACCCCATCTTCGTAATTCTAGCCGTGTACTAGCTCCGACGATAGGAAGGATACCGTTAACGATCTGCGGGTAGAAGGCGGCATCGCCGAGGACGAGGCTGCGGGCAGCGTTGAGCTGGGCGACCTGGTCGACGACATTGTCCATCGGCTGAGCCATTGTAGCTCTGATGGGGATATATCCGGTACGCGACGAACGTGTCGGATTCAAGTTGAGAGACTAGGTGTTGGAGGAAGGGAGGACGTTGGTGGGTGGACGGGGAACACGGATGCAGTTGCAAAAGCAACGCGCATAAGCTTAGGGTCGCGATCGCAGAACTAGGAGATAGTGGCTAGTGGCAAATCAACACTGAGGTTGGAGAGGGTAAGTGGTTATGCGATGGCTGGTGAAGGAAAGGCGATTGGGAAGTGAGATTGACGGCCGTCGAGGATGCGACAAAAGCTGCGAAGCCTGAAAGGGCGGCCGACAAAGACTCCGATGTATGTGAGCTGCGTATCTCTACATACAACGCTCGATTCACTAAGCTACAAGTCTCTCGGTGCTTCAATGATCCGAAATTAGATTCAACCAGGGTCACAATTATAATAAAAGTCTCGATCTAATCTTAATAGAAACATCTAAACCCGTATCTTGTCTGGACCTCCAACGCCAAGACTTTGCCTCCGGGTCTGCCTGTATGGCCTCAACTTTCTTGTCTCTCACATCTCTGCCAACAAGACACTCTCACCATGGCTACCGGAATGTGCGTATAGTCTCTACGGAATTGCGTAGGTCTTATCTTGCTAACCTCGTGCCTCTGACAGTTTCAACTCCACCTACTACGGCAAGGACTACCGCGCCGGTGCCGCCCTCCTCCGCGCCCGCCGCCCATATCTGTTCAAGAATACCATTACAGGCTTCGGACTGTTCGCATTTACAATTGCAGTCTGTGAGTAATCCCTGCGATGCATACCGCTGTTCCCCTTCAGTCCTGTTCCTATCTCCGAACTGCAGACGATCATGCCACCAAGACTTTCCCGCTGAGAAGTCTCCATGCGGATTCGATATCCATAAGAGGGAGAACCTCATGCTGATATGGTCTCAATTTCCAGATACCTACACCCTCAAGGCCGTCGGCCAAGAAGAATTTGCCGACGTCAAGGTGCCCGATGCCCCCGCGGACAAGAAGTGAAGCACACTTAACCCACCGGACCGGGTTGACGCTGCAATTGGGGTTTTGGAGTCTTCAGGGAGACCTTGTTTTTCGGATCTGTAGGATTAGCGATAATACCAGCATTCGTGCTGCCATGAACAGAAGGAATTGGCTTGGAATATAGGCTGTACAATGAATTTGGGCTACGGCCGTCTATCATCATTCGCAGCGTGCGGTTCTGCTTTCTATGTGCCCTATCAACTTCAAGAAGAAACCCGCCATTTCCCCGGTACTCCAAATATCGAATCGCTAATATTACGTAGGTGAAGCTGACAGCCCTGGAGCCCTGGAGGCAAAGTTATATAATAGCCTTCCGAGAAGGAAGGCACTAATATATTTCTAGGTAACTAGACCTAGAGCATATTCGGTATGGGTTTAAAGCACAAAACAAATGGCCTTCTATACCGGAGCGAATAATAACAGCCAACAAAACAAGGAAATCGATATGCATCTAGAAAAGAAATCTCTACTCGGTTCGCAGAACACGAGGACCCTTGCGCTTCGTGGCACGCTTGCGCTTGAGGCCCTTGTCAAAGGCAACTGCGTTGCTGTGATCACGACCGAGGTTATCCAAGTCTTTGACCTTGTAGAGACGAACGATCCAGTTCTCGCTGGTGAAAGCCTCTTCCAGTGTGTTGAGCTGGGGGCTTTCCTTGGGAAGTCTTGTGCCACGCACACGGTCCATGGCCTGACCGGCCGGGAACAGCGACTGGTAGTTGTGATAAGACATTTTGTACCTGTGGATGGGTTAGCAGTGGCTTGGATAACAAAAACGTCGGGTTCTTACATCAAGCTGTTCTTCATGGCGGGAGTGGCCTCTTCGTCGACACGGTACTCGCCGCGAGCGGTGAAGTAGTCGCGCTCCTTCACCTCGTCTGGCCAGATACCCTCGGCAATACGAACCATCCAGAGGAACTTGTTCAAATCATCACCCGAGTAGCCGAGTAGTCCACCAAACACAACCAGGACGTAATCGACATCGTGCTGTCGCAGAATGGGGTAGCTGACTTCCTCGCGCGAGCTCATCGCCTTACCAACAGTGGCAATATGGGTGTTGTTCCAGGTGTTGTTGTCGACCAGAGTAGGGCGGTCAGCCATACCACCAATTTGGTACCCATAATCCCACCACGACATGATCTTGGCATTGTCCGGGGTGTTCTGACGGAGCCAATAGTAGGCCTCACGGTAATCATCGATGATCAACTGGCTTCCATCAGGAAGCTTGCTAGCCAAAACCACAGAGGGAGAGGAGTATGCATTGGATGTAACCCAGGTACAGTGTGCAACAAACATAAGGAGGTAAAGAGTGACTGAGGCTACCACGACAGACTTGGAAAACCAGGAGTAGATACCGACAACGGGGTTTCGGGCTGATCGGAGTGACTTATCTTCCGTAGTTGGCTTAGCCTTGGTTTCAGTGCTCGGTGTCGACGCAACCAGGAAGTTATCGAGGATGCACGACAGGGCCAGAGCAGCCGCGACACACACAATGGGGGTCAAGGTTAGCATCAGACGGACCATAACGCCGGCAAAGTAGCTAGCAAGGACGGAGTAGATGACCACAAAGACATGCTCATCCTTGAGCTTCTGGAAGCACATGAACACCCCGGCCGGGAACAGCCAGATAAGGAAGTTCAGGTCAAAGAAGAAGGCAGGCCAGGCGGTGGGCTGGTGCTCAGAGACAGAGGCAATAATTGGGATATGAATCTTGGCGTATCCGGTATCCCACAGAGAGTAGAAGCGACCACTCCAGGGAGCAATGACCCCAGAGACTGACAGCAGGACAAGACCACCAAATCCAAGGCCGAACGTAAGCAAGACCATAGAAGTGAGGAGCTTCTGGAACTGCTTGCCGGGCAGGTAGGCCCGGATGAACTCGGCAAACGCGACCAATTGGATCAATCCAAAGACACCTATCAAATAGTCAGAATGAGACAGGGGGATGGCTCAGAATCCAAGAGTCTTACCAAGTGCAGACATGTGGTCACTGTTGCGAATAGGCAGGAAACCGACGAAAGGGATCTGCATGCTTCCCAGTGTTCCTAGGGCATACCAGGTGGTGTAGCTGATATAGACACGGGTGCTGTATCGGCCCATGCACAGAAGAACGAAGACATGGAGAGGGATCAGGTTGGTAATGAAGACGTATCCACCCCAAGCAGAAACCATGTACCCATAGAACAATGCAGTCAAGGCTCCCCACATGATCGAGCCGTTCTTCACGGCCTTGATCCAAAGGTAGAATGTGAACACCAACAAAAAGATCGCAATGGCTTCATTATCGTAGCTGCCTGCCACTGACCGAGAGATGTAACCAGGTGTAATTCCCATAAAAGCAGCGGCCAGGAGGCCTGCGGAGGGAGAGTCGGACATTTCAGAGGTCAGCAGATACATCGCCAGGGCTGTTAGTCCAGAGAATCCGGGGGCAAGCAAGACACAGATGTTTCGAATGTCGACGGGGATGGTAAGGAGTCGAAGGATGTGGTAGATCACACCGCTGGTCACCATCAGGCCAGGGTATAGTGTACCACCAGTCACACGACCCAGGGGGTGCCATGTTCCTATAGCACGAGTGTTTCCATCAGCATAATGCCATTCATACTATCATCCGGAGGACGTGCAATCGTAGGGAAGGGGTCTTACGGTCATCAAACCAATCCCAGAAGCTATAAAAGCCATTTTCGACCAAGTATTTTGTCGCACGGAAGTTAAACCACGGATCGACTAAAATAAGACGGTATCAATATCTCATTTGTATGTTCGGGGGACTGTCGAGGTGGCATCCGCATCTAGTGCAGCAGCACAAGGAAATCATACATTCGTGGATGATACTTTCAAATCCTAGGAAATAGTTAGCATATGGATCATAAAGAATCTCAATTGATACATACTAATAACACTGAACAGGCGGCTGGACACTGCGGCGGCGGCAATGGTACAGAGAATGATAACCCGCAATAGACCGCGCATGTTCCGGCCGGAGCTGCCTTTCAACACAACATCAAGCGAAGACGGGGCCATGATGGCCTTGAAGAAGGAGCTAAGTCCAGAGTCAGAAATCAAATTAGAAACATGAAATCAAGGAATGAATTGGGCTGAGATGCCAGTGGTGAGGACCGTGGTGAGAGATGGGAAGAGCAAGAGCTGCGCAAGGTGGTCACTTCTGAAGGTCTTGGCACAGGCCAGAGGCGCCACCTCTGATTGCTCCCCGCAATACTACGACTCATCAATAATCTTTGCTTAGAGCTCTTTTCACTAACTTTTGACTCAATATATACTACTGCTGAGTACATCAGTATTTCTACAGCAAACCGACCATTTACAATTTATCTACACCTCACATACCATACCCACATGGAGCTACCTCCACTGAGCACGGAGCAGCTCTCACAGCTGGTGGTCTCCAACGCTCCACCGTCACAGCTCTTCGAAGCCCTATCGCGATATGAGCTTCAAGCATGCCTCATTTCTACCGGGGTTAACAGTCCCAATGAAGGCGGTGGTAACTTCACACTATTAAGCCTGTTCTACTCGAGCTTCTTTCTCGTCCATCTTCTTACCGACCAAGTGTTAGTTGCTTAGTGAGAGTGCTATTGACGGTTGCCACAATGCTAATAAAGCTTGAGAGCCAGATCTGAAGCTCGCGCCTTAACGAAACGAATTCCCGAAGCGCTACTACAACAGGATCCTTCTTTACAGAACTGCTTGACTTTGCTGCGAGCGGTGTGGCAGACTCAACATGGCCAGGTCTACCAGGTACTCCGAGGGCTACCATGGCCAGACGCTTTAGAGCCACTGGTTCGGAGATATGAGAGTATGTTCCCTAAGACAATGACCTTCCTCTTTCGGCAGGATCTTAAATTGACCGATTATTCTACAATCAGGTTTCTTCCAAGACAAGACCTTGATCGCAGTGAGCAGGTCTTACGAAGCTATACGACTAGCTACAGCGGCAATCCACCTTGGTCTTGACGAACAGCTCGCTGAACAGGAAGATCCGAACATAATATCGAATTTCACGAAATGTGGGTGGACATGGGATTCGGAATCAAAGCTGCTGCATCCCAAACCTATCGTGGTATCGCCCCCGGAGCCTCGGCCTTCCAACGGGATTCGCAAGGCAATGACAATGTTGGGAACGCGTGCATGTTAAACTTGCTTGAAACCCGAAGGAATACAAGCCTATTTAATAGATCCGATCCTCTTCCAAGGACTAGCTACACATTCTGTCCGGGCTGTGGAGATGCGAGGATGCCAAAACTAAAATTGGTCTGTACGTACTAGAACCACTGGTAACGCCGGAATGCATAACACGATCTTTTGCTCTTGCTTGTGGTCCAACTGTAGTGTACAGGCACACGACACCCAGGGTATGTACAGGACCCAGATAAAACTTCTAAAAATGAGAAACAAAAAATCATTCCGTCTTGCGCTCGCAATGCCACAGCTCAGGGCAGATTAAACCCAAACAATCGTACAATAAAATGGAGCGGAGGTGAGCAAAACACGTCTAATACCCTGGGGGAGGTGCGATTCCCGCAAAGAGATCATTGCATAGCATTCCTCCTCTATATTATCCATCACGTTTACTCTCCAGCCTTAGCCTTCAAGAATGCCTCCAGGTCGAACTTGGGATCCTCGAAATTCGTGATAACTACGGGATTTTAGTCAGCACTTGGGGTTTTGGAGATATGCGGCGGTTCGGGATGTCATTGGACTTGTCTGGGTTGTATCATCGGAGGGAAATAAACGTACGTCCGCTGGTCTGTGTCTTGGTCTCTTGCTGGGGCTGGGTCTTCTTCTTGTATTCCGCCTTGGCCTGCTCGATCAGGCGCTCCTTGCGAGCATACTCGTGCTCGATCTCTGCGCGCTTGGTCACCGAGTTGAGGGAGGACTGGTGGTAGACACCGTAGACGAGACCGGCAACGAGAGCCGAGTAACGGAGGACCTGCAGGTTGGGAGATGTGGTCAACAGCCGTTCGGGGGAAGGGTAACCCTTAGCCGGTACTCACATTGACACCCTGGCTAGCCATTTCTGCGAGGGTTCCAGAAGACGGGAATTAAATGAGGGAATAAACTGTGTAAGAAGGAGGGACCGTGCAGCAGGTGTCAACCGTCAATGGCAATAAATCTCCAGGTTGGTCAAATGGCGAGGTTCAGTTCATGTTCTGCGCGCGCGAGTTTTTCCGGACCTCCAGAGTTCCCGAAGGCGGAGCTTAGTCATCCCCGTAAATAAACCGCAGTGGAGATACTACACTTGGACGCGGATGCATCTGGTTTAACCTTTGATGATCGTACAAGATGTCGATGCAGCAGCGCAAGGATGAGATCCTCGCAAAGCGGGCCAAGCTTGCGGAGCTCAAAAAGCAGCGCGAGCTACGCCAGAAGGAATTCACCTCCCGAACCAGTGTCGGGGATACTTCAGAGGTAAACGCGGCATGTGAATGGACTACGGAGCTCGTCTGGGTCTAACAAGCTTCCTAGATTATATCACCAATCCCAAGCCGCACAGATAACAGACATGACCTCGACGACTTGATCTCTCGCTTGGTCGACCGCCCAGCATCGGCCTCCCTCAGCCACGGCGCCGATGGCCAGTCGCGGAGAGGAAGTCGACCAACCTCCGTGTTGAGCGCGAGCCAATTAAGCGGGGAGAATCCAGATACATATGCAGCTCCATCGCGACCACAATCTCAGTCCATTGCCGTCCAGACGACAGATGAGCCTTGGATTTCCTCTGCAACGGAAGCCCCGCAGCCCCCTGATCTTGAACCCGAATACAAATCCACACCCAAACCGGAAGTTGTCACATATAGCAAGGCCGTGCAGACAGACGGAATAGATTTCCAGCCCGAGACACCTGAAGAGTCTGTCGCTTCGGACGGTGAGGAGTCACCCGGTACCACGCGGTCGAGCAAGCGTCTCAGTCGACGAGACCGTGAGAGAGACGAGGAAATCCGACAGAAGCTTCGCAAAGAAATTGAGGACGAGCTTCAAGCTACCAATCAGGCCGATAGTAATGAAACCACAGCTGCACAGTCCGCAAAGCTGCGGTATCCTCTACGCAAACTCGATGACGACGAGCTGAAGGCAGTCACATCGTCGGACGATTTCCTGGACTTTGTAGAGCGCTCGTCCAAGGTCATCGAGCGAGCTTTGGACGAAGACTACGACGTACTGGCAGACTATGAGCTGGGCGGAACTGATGGGCATCTGCAAGAAGATGAGGAGACTGGCAAGAAAAGGAGAGGAATGCAAGAAGTGTCCCATTTCTGGGACGAACGATGGAGCAAGAATCGCATTATCAGTGATCTAAGCTTCTCTCCTAAGGCAAGATTTCTACTTATAAATAAATCTGCTTTGGCTCATGCTAACCTTGACTCCAGTTCCCTGAATTGTTGCTTGCATCATACACCAAAAATACTTCCGCTCCTCACGAACCCGATGGGCTTGTTCAGATCTGGAATCAGCACTTGCAAACTCGTCCAGAATATGTTTTCCACTCGACATCCGATATCCTTACGGCAAAATTTTCTCCTTACCATCCAAACCTTGTTGTTGGAGGCTCCTATTCGGGACAGGTGCTCGTATGGGACACTCGTTCCTCGCGCGCCGGTGGAGGCTCTCCAGTACAAAAGACTCCCCTGTCAGGCGGCGGACACGCCCATCCCGTTTACGGTATCTCGATTGTTGGCACACAGAATGCACACAATATCATGACTGCCTCCACGGACGGTGTGGTCTGCGGTTGGACGATGGATATGCTCTCTTACCCACAAGATCGTGTGGAACTGATTACACCTCCCCCATCTAAGACCGAGGATCTTGCTCCAACAACCATGTCATTCCCTCACACTGATCCTACGTTCTTCATCGTCGGTACTGAAGAAGGAGTCATCTACCCGTGCCACCGGTACGACCGGGCCGGAGCCAAGTCTGGCACAGACCACCGCCTAGCTTACAAGGGACATACGGCACCAATTATGTCTACCGCATTCCACCCCGGTCGTGGACCAGTAGACCTTGGCGATCTTATGCTGAGCTCCAGTTTGGACTGGAGCGTGAAGCTCTGGCGTGTGCGGCCACCTGCGACGACCGCCTCTGCCACATCTGGCATGGCCCAGTCCCAAGTCGTCTCACCCATTCTCGATATTACCCGTGACGATGTTGTTTACGATGCCCGCTGGCACCCAACCCGACCTGGTGTGTTCTCTCTTGTCGACGGTGCCGGCAATGTCGAAATCTGGGACCTCGCTTCAGATACCGAAGTGCCAGTCGCGCGTGAAGTTGTCGACAATACCCAAGGCAACATCATGTCCCGAAGCCTTAACAAGGTCGCTTGGGACGAGCGTGAAGGACGCCGCCTGGCAACTGGTGGCCTCAATGGTGTCGTTACAGTCTTCGAAGTTGGCAAGGGTCTCTGCGGGCTGCCAGAGGAAGTACCCGCGGACGAGTGGACGGGTATGAAGCGGCTTGTGGGAAAGCTGGAACAGAAAGACAAGGATCGGGTGGCTTAGGGTTAGCACTGCAAGGGCTTGTGTCTTTTCCAATGATTGTCGATGTAGTTTTCTTCTGCGGGCCGACCTTCCCCGTCTACCTTTTACTCTGTGAGGTCTCCCGTCTTGCTTGCCATATACCCCCTTCCCTTCAATCACATAATTTGTGCATGTGTATGTATCTCATCGCCGTTACAATGGAAAAATATCATTATGTTCCTAGATCCCTGTTCTCTCTTCATCTCCAACTACGATCACGAAACTATACTATGAAGTTCATGAGAACTAATAATAATGAAAAGACATGGAAATGGACTTACGACCCAAAATCACACTCCACCTTCGGCCGTGGGACATGTTGCTGCCAATGATGTCTCCACGAAGAGACTGAAAGCTGTTTATAGACAGCCAAGTCTACAGACTTGATATCTGAGCCAGACGAGCCCTTGCAAGGACCGTAATATGCCTCGTCATTGACTATTGCTATACTCTGACACAGACACGACCACAACTTATTGCGTGTCTCAAAGGTCTCGACCGACAAGAGCAAACCAACAAGGTCACGAACAATATACATGCAAAAGTTTGTCCATCTCGGCCCGAGATTTGGTAAAACGTCGGTGTATAGAAAGGGTGATCTGCTCTTATCCTCGATATCAAAAGTTGAATCCATGAATGAAGTTGATCTGGAATGCCGACATCAGCGCGAAATTGCATCTATAATCCCGAAACCTCCGAGGCAGGAGCCCGAAAGAGAAGGGAAACCAACCGTGGAAGCAAGCCAAACATGCGACCCGATGCCAACCGGTTTCCTAAACCGGAGGGCAAGCAAATAGGCTTCTCAGTGAACCAATACATATATCCAATAAGTACATCTAGATCCACCCGTGGACATGTATGCATTGTCATCGTGACCCAAGAGCAATTAGCTTCATATTTCCCCGAAATGCTCCCGCAGAAGGATGTCATGATGTCACCCATCTGGGCTACCCAGGTAGATTGATGAAAGGGCTCTTTCAAGATCTGCTCCACACCCATGGTATCGTTGGTCTGTTCCACGGAAGACGTCAACTTTAAAATAATAGACTCTCAGCGGCCCTGCGCCTATAATGTTTATCTGGAGAGACGCCTTTTAAACGTTAGGTTTGTTCCGATGGTGGCCAGACCCTTTGCCTTATGGATAACCCGAGGTCTCCGCGGGTCCAATATACTTTCGGGAATTTAAGGGTTTCCGAAGGTTGTTGGAAATTTTCTTATTTTATATAGCTGACCGTCCACCTGGCATGTTTATGTGCTCACTTCTTGTAGCACGGACAACTTTCTACAGATGAGGTCTACAATTTCCCTTTCCTCGTCGTCATGGGTGCCGACTGGAACCTAGGAGACCAACAACCGTATAATGGCAATGCCCTAGTGGGACCTACTGCCGCCATTGCTGTCGTGCAAATTGGCTTCGTTGCAGCGAGATTCTATACTCGGTTTATGCAGCGGATGAAGATTGGTGCCGACGACTATCTGATCCTACTTGCCCTAGTACGTATCACGTTCGGATATAGCTAAATCCAATCATGCTAATATCCCGCTGTCTAGGCTGCAAGTTTGGCCAACTCAATGATATTTATTGTCTGTATGTGAACAGTCTCAGCAACAAGCTCGAAGACGACGATACTCACATCATGCAGTGGCCAAAATTGGGGTAGTTGGGTACCACTTCGACTACGTTTCTCAGATGCCTGATAAAGTGACTCTCGCGAGAAAAGTATTTTCTCCAATCAGTTGAGCCCTAGCTACCGGACTAACGACAACATCCAGTGCACCCTTGCCCTCCAAATACTCGATTACCCCTTCACAATCACCCCGGCCAAAATGGCCGTGCTATTATTCTATCTACGCATTTTTACAACCCGAAAGTTCCAGATCCTCGTCTACATAGTAGGATCACTGGTTCTTGCGCTGGGAGTCAGCGTTCTTCTGGAGAACTTCCTCCAATGTCAGCCATTGGCGTACATGTGGGATCGAAGCATCCCCGGTGGGAAGTGCATTCATCCAGTCGACGCTTATCGAATTTTCGCCCCAGTTAATGTCCTTACTGGTGTGCTGATCCTTGTGATGCCCATCCCGGCTGTCTGGAAGTTGCATGCACCCAGAGCGCAGAAACTAGCCGTGACGGGTGTTTTTCTGTTGGGTGGACTGTGAGTTATTCAAACTTTGTGTCATCATCTGCGCTTGAAATAAATACCGAGTACTGATGGGGAATCTTAGAGGAAACGTGGCAAGCATTTTGAAAATGGTGCTAAACTTCACCGGGTCAAATTTCGCTAGGGAGGACCCAACGTGTAAGAACCGACGCCAGAATTTTACTGAAATAAGGACTGATTTATATAAAACCAGGGTTCGCGGCCAAATACGGTGTCCTAACGATTCTTGAAGGCAGCTTGATTATCGTCGCTGCTTGCATTATCAGCATTTGGCCTCTTTTCACCCAAGTCATGCCCCGGCGTTTTCGAACAACGTTCGCTCGATCCACGGCTCGTAGGAGTCACCGGTCCTGGTATTCGAGAGAAACACCCACGGAAAGCGAAAGTCGAGAAGGCATTGCACATCCTAGAGAGGTTCATTTACTAAGAGAGAAATACTGGAGTAGCCCGCCATCCTCGCCATCCTCTTTGGCAGATTTGGAGGACCAGAGATGGTCGATCCTTATGGACGGCGAAGTAGGTGGCTCTCATCAAAGTGGTGGGGTGGGTCAAAATATAAGTACTTTATATCTATCAATATATAATGAATGAGCCAAAAATGGAATGTGATACCAGTTAGTCTAATTGCTGGATGACGTCAATGCCTAGAAGCCCCGAAAAAAATGTACTTTGGCTTGTAAACCAAAGTGTATCTACATATCACGATATTTGAAGACTTCAAAAGCGGGATCAGTGTTCAGTCAACACGACTTGCCGAGTTTCCGTACGTGCATTTGGTCAATAAGTATATCTGAACCCAGACTTTGGGGTTTCATTCGTTAGCAAGATCATACAATCGATCGACAGTTGATCAAAAGCACTCACCACACCCTCAAGGACCTTCAATCGCCGTCCTTGCCTCCGATTGGCGAAGTAAAAGTAAACCGTGAATGCGCCCACGATAGCAATGAGAAGAATGTGGGAACTAGTGATGTTGTCAGCCGGAGCAGAGTGTCAAATAATTTGCTAAACTTACCCAATTGACACCCAAACTGCGGTCAGATATTGCGGTGCTTCTTGCTGGCGGACAATAAAGCTGCCTGCCACTCCTCCAAGTCCGTTACATGCAGTTACCGCCGCCGCAGTGGCCACTCGTTTCCACTGGCCAACGATATTGTTGGCCTGGAAAGCATTGAGGGCAGCCCAGTTGGAGATATAAGCACCGGTCGCCAAAAAGGTCCCGATGTAACGCACTGTCACCACAGTAGATCCGGGAAGACCGAACATAAGGAACCCAGCTATGAGGACAAGGGCATTGAAGACGATCAGCGGCCCACGAACGCGGTAGAAATCTCCGATCAATGATGTGAGAATAACCGGGATCACGGCATAATAGTAGGGCTAGTGAAGGAGTCAGAAAATGCGGCATTATATACTTTGGATGAACTTACCGGTGTGGAGAGCAGAATGGATTTATTTGTGCTGAAACCCATACCGGATTGTAAGATGATGGGTAGGAAATACGACAAGGCAGTTGAGATGAGATTGAGCAAAAAGAACATGACCGCGAAGCCGTAGATCTTAGGATCCTTGAAATTAGCAAGAAGCGTGCTCCAGGAGAACGGTTCGGGGACAACATCAGCTCGATCATCCTGAATTCGGCGCGTTGCGAGACGCGCTTCCTGGTCTGAAAGAAAGCAAAAGCTGCGCTGAGCATTCTCGGGGAAGTCGACCATCCACCAGTAGGTAACGATACCAAGGACACAAGTAATGAGACCCTGGACAACATACATCCAACGCCAACCCGCCAACCCGGCCACACCGTTCAAATGATTGAGACCGAAATTGACGATATTGCCAGTCGCCAGAACCACAACTTCTCCGGACTGCAAGAATGCAAATCGGAGCTGCTGTTCTTGTCGCGGGTACCAGGCGCTAACCAGGTAGGTCAGACCAGGGTAAATGCCGGACATGGAAATGCCGAGCAGCACACGCAGGATAATCATCTGCTGCCAATTGCGAACAAAAGCAGTACATAGTGTCAACAGCCCGAATGCGAATGTGATCGTCGAAAACCAGAGGCGTGGACCGGCAAAGCGAACTGCCACTGTGCATGGCAGCTGGAAGACCACACTGGCGATTGTGAAAATAAATATGGAGACGGAGTACCGATTCCCCTGGCGCAAATCAAGATCATCAAGCATAGTTGTCACCGAGGCCGAGGACAAAATTCCCGAGTCTAGCAAATTGAGACTACATAAGAGCCCGCCGATGCTACAAAGACGGAGATCGACTTTCCATCGTACCCGCTTCTCTAGAGCGGCCCACTCATCCCCGCGCTCTGAGTTGAGATTGCTTTGGCCATCTCCAAGAGGAGCCCGCTCGAATATCACACTGTCGAACTGTGCATTGGTCTCTTCTGCCACTGGCTCCGGGGTAGGCGGAGGTCTGGCTGTTGGTGTTAAAGTGAACGAGAACTGGCCTTTCTCTGAGTCGACCATATTGACCAATTGTCTGAACGATCAGGCCAATTCCCGATTTCTGTATCAGATGTATCAAGATTAATTTGATAATGCAACCTTTCTTTTGTTTCCCCAGGCATTCTAGGATAAGAACGTGATAGATGCCGGTCGAATAGTGCGTCTCTTAGCGCGTAAGTCGGACCTCGGATTATCAATCCAGATATTTCGTGATTAACTTCTTTTCACGATGTGCGAGTTTGTAGGATTGAGACAAGCCAGTCTATGGGTCAAACCCCAGACTTGGACGGATTACTCCGTAGACGCGTAAACAATTAGAAAAATTCCCACCGAGAGCATGTGACCGGGCACATTCCAAATTGGGCGTTATTAACGCGATCCGTATAGCATACTCAGACAGATCGCTTTCACGTTTGCCAGAATAGGTAAATTTTATGCCTAGGTAAGATAGGCTCTTACGATGGACGATTACCAGATACTGGTCGTGTCTTAATTCTTCGAGCCACTGCCAAACCACCTCTCCCAGATGTCCTGTCACCAGTTCGTCTTGCGCCATATTACCCCGATCCTTCTTCCCAACGCTGCCGGGAAGGTAGATGTTCAACCCAGCCCTTTCCAGAGGAGCATGAGCTATACCGCCATATTACATACTCACTCCACGCACGCCGATCATCGGAGTGTCGTCCAGTTCCGAACCGACAAGCAAGACCTCTTCGGAGTCTCCGAAGCTAGCCGCATTCATGGACCTATCGTACCCTGTTTGTGTATACATCGACTTTTGCGCAAGGGACACCGTATATTAGTGCCTTGATATCTTCTCAGGACTTTAAACTGCCGCTACAGAAGAAGATGGCGACTACCATGGACCTTGCAGACCTCGTTACTCGGGGAGCCAGAGCCAGCACTACTATATCCGATATTACCTCTACTCTTGATGAAATCCGCCATACAGTCAATATTACAATTTCCGAGACACGGCTCTTAGAAACAGCATTTCTAATTGCATCAGCACACTCCTGCCACAGCTACGCGATCTCGCAGCTCTCCCCGTTACCCTTACCCACCAGGATCTCGCCCCATTCAACTACCTTGTCGACGGCTCCACGGGCCGGGTTCAGGCTGTCTAGATTGGGACGGTGCTCTATACCTGCCAGTTGGGTCAAACCTCCATTTCATGGATAGTCTTGTTGGGTTCATGACCCCAACTGGTTGGCAAGACACGGAGGATTGTCAGGAACTCGAGACAGCGCTTTACGATCGGGTTCTGGCTAGTCTTGCTACCCAGAGACTTGGGGAATAAAAAAGGAGCAACTGGAGTCGCAGAAGGCGATCGGGATGTTGCTGTACGGTGTGGAACGGCTTCTCAAATTCAAAGACGAACGATCCGAGCCCTAGCCCTATCTAGATGGATATCTTCGGGGGTTATCTGTATAGGCAGACACCAAAGTACTGTTGCAAAGCTAAAGCGTTTTGACAGATTATACTGGGATCTCTGGGGCGAGTGTCTTTATTCCTAAGGAATTAATTCCGCTTCGAATCTTTACATTGCGCATAAGTAAACACTAAGTGGCAGTGCTTGGCACAGTATTAGCCCCCACACACAGACAACCTTGGAAAGAAACCGGTGGACATAAGTCAGAGAGAAGGCCAGATCATCCCATGTCTTATTGCTATCCCTCAATTCACCGTGAAAAGTTGCCCTTCGTGTGAACTTCTCACGCATGCGAAGGGTCCGATAGACCACTCGGGAGAACTAACATGCACCTAATTATCTGAAATATACATGTAGTATAACATGCGCCTATTATGTATCCTGTGATAGTATCTCCCTTTCTTTTCCTTACAAGGGGCCGAAGGCATATTGGTTGTTTTGTATGTATCTTAGTATTCCGTACTCTCGTAGTACCGAAATGATTCTAAATTGGCCGGTGGCGGATTCTACTCCGAATGTGCCCCGGGCTGACAGCTGATATCTGGATTTGGAATGAATGCATGGGTTTATTTCATGAGACATTCATGTTCAGGTAGATGTCCAGATGGTTTTGATGATGGATAAGATCCGAAAGAGCCAATAGGAAGAAAAAGATATACATCAGAGCCTCTGCAGCGTAAGTCTAAAATAGGAAAACAAAATCCAAACCTTGGAATAGGAACTATATAAGCATAAACTATAGAAAATGTCCAAATATCAAAAATATCCAGGTACAAAGGAGAGTCTTCAACCGGTTGAACCATGGACCCAGTAAGCTTTACGGCCCGCTGATTGCTCTGTTTGTCGCCCCACGTTCGGTCGAATGGAGCCCAGAGAGCTTGCAAAATACTTGGACTTCCCCCCACGATTTCTACTTTCTCTCTCTCCGCATTTCAAACCTACACTACATACATATCCATTATGGTCGAACTCATCAACCCGCCCGAAACTCGCGTACTACTCCCTCCCCTCCTCGCATGCCTCCCACTAGCCTTTGTCTCGCCCCGCGCACCCCCCGCTCTGTTACCACTTCTTTCTCCTATTCTGCGCCAACGAGTCGGGGTTCTCAGTTCGCTATCCACATCTTCCACTGAGTCATGGCTGCAACTACTGTGCTGGGATTCTGGGAAAGCAGAGCGTCTGCAGAGGATCATTGACGGTGCCACCTTTGAACCACACCCGGTATCGGGCGAAATCGAGCTTCCGGATGAACTCCCGGTGACATACAAGCGGATCGACGATGAGACTCTCAAAGCACAAGTTCCACTCAGCGAATACAGCTTGACGGTGGTCTATCTATGGTGCCCGACAGACGAGGAGGGAGGTGGCCGTGGCTGGCGAGTCGCGGAGCTTTTGCCGCGGGAGGGAGCTGCTGAGGATGACAATACCTGGGCTTCTTCCATTGGGGAGGCTAATATCCAGGCAAAGGACCAGCTCCTGGCTGATACTTTAAGGGCTGCCGAGGAAGAGAAGGCCCAGGAGAACGGCATGGAGAACGACGACGACGACTACTGGGCTCAGTACGACTCCACACCTGGAACCAAGACCCCCGCCCCGCGTGCTGCTTCATCAAAGCCGGGCGCATCTGGTTTATCTGAGCAGTCGTACTTCTCGCAGTACGGCGACGTGCAGCCGGCCATGGATAATCATGATCCCACGGAGGAGCAGCCGGAGGTTGGCCCGTCATCGCTCAACGGAGATATGCTGGCCAATCTCCTGCGACGACAGGTGAACGGAGGCAATCCAGAGGACGAGCCCCGCACCAACGGATATTCTCCAGGCCATATCCCCAGTGATAAGGCCGCACAAGATTTAAACCACCCAAGGCCGGCCTCTACATCTTCCGGGAGCTCTGATGCTATCGCCAAGCTGGAACACGAGGCAGAGAGCCAGTCCACCTACGAGGTGGGAGTGAAACAACATATTGGTACGAGCATCAAAAGTTTGTTCCGCTTGGGAAAGGCCACTGGAATGCCCCGGGCAGAGTTCCAGGCATTGGTCTCGACGGAATTGGAACTTTTGAATATCATGGATGACGATTAAGGCCGTAAAATACGTACTCGAGTGATACCCATGGACCATCATGTTTGTTTGAGACGTTGGGTTCATATTTGGCCGGTCAGTTTTGCATGTTGACGGCATTATTGGGAGTGATGGTTTGCTTTGGGCATTTGATCTTGTTCTATGTCGAACATCTAACCAATAAAAACACAATACAAAGATATCATGGTACCTTGTTTCACCCTAACTGACATATAATTTGAGGCTGTGGAATAAATACTGCGCGGGTAACGCCATCTCGCACAGGATTCCCGATAAGGCGTAGCGCAGCCCAAGACCAACTATAGGAAGACCATTAATGCGGCCCAGTTCTGGCTAAGTAAAGGCTTATTTTACAATCAATTGCCCTAACCAATTCAAGTAACCATGTAGAATAATCTGAGGCTGAGGACCCCACTTTTAGACTTAAAAGGATGTTGGCCCCCATGCGACGCTTACGAGAACCAGCTTATTTTCTTTCACTCTCACACAATGGCCGATGAAAAGAAACGAAATCCCTTTGAGGATATGCGACGCTCTGATGAGGGAGAGGCAACAGATCACCCTCCAGCATACACAGCAGGGCCTTCAACACAACCAAGCCGATCACCAGTACAAGAGGTGCCTTCTCAAACAAGCCACAAACCAATCGCAATTCCAGCCATTAGCTCCTCATCTGATTCTCCTTTTATCCGCGCATATCCACCCATCCTAAAGAACCACCAACTCCCCAAGGAATCCTTCCTCACCTTCCTCGACCAACTGAACAAAGATATAGCGGCCAGTCCGCCCCTGCAAGTCCTAGACGCAACAGGCGGGATCTTGAAGTCCGTCCCGATCCTATTCCCGCTGCACTGGATTGGCACCGCAGTCAGCGGGCTCGCGAACCTGAGTAGCCAAGGAATGTCCAAAAGCCGTACGGACTCCTCCATCAAACAAGCCAATAAGGACATCTTCGGTCCGCGCGGCTTGAGAGTTGAGATTGCGAAGCTGGATGCGCTGGCACATGTAGCAAAGCTCCCTATATTGGATTCTCAGGGCAAGATCAATCGGCAAGCATCTCTGTTTCTACAACTCCAAAATGAGGCTTCCATGAGCAGGGCTGAGACCGACGAAAGGCAGCAGCAAGAGCTTAATTTGCAGCGGAGGATTGCGACTTTACAGCCCTGGATTGCTGAGCTTGAATTTGAGATTTTGCCTTGGTCATCTAAGTCTAAGTTGACGCGGTTCAACGCCTTGTTGAAGAAGTATAACGAGCCGAGGGATCAGGAGATGAGAGACATGGGTAGGCGAGGCGTCGTTTACAATCAAGAGATCAAACAGGAAGAAAATCCTTTTAAGAAGGCTCTGTGGCTTGTTATTCGGGATGTTGAAAATGAAAGGTGTTAATCGGCCGCTGAATATATATACGTCCACTTCGGCACTTGTCAACGTATCTATGCCAGCCTTGGCTGGCCTTGAAAAGGGCCAACTAGTGAGACTCTCTGCCAACTCGCAAGACTCCAGACCAGAAATATTTGAATGAGAATATACCAGAACTTTATGTATAAATTTCCGTCCAATTTAAACCCAGAAAATCCAACAGGAAGCCCTGGAGGTGATCGAAGGAGAGATCACATGCCCAAAACCATTCAGTTAATATGAAAGGATTGATAGGACCATAGTTACGTGTAGATCAATAACAAAGCAAAACTTTCAAGGTTCAATTTCTTTGAATACTCGACTCGACAGTCCAATGAAACAAGGAGTTGGTGTATAGTGTCCATCTCGCCCTTTTTGTGGATTTGTATACGTAGATCCGCCTGGGGGCCACCGCCCTGCCCAGAAACCAAGAAGACACGCAACGTTCTACTGTCATCCCCCTCCACATCTCCTTTCCTTTCTCATAGTTTTCTTGGCCTCAATTGTTGGGTGCCATGCTTATTTGGTGATTCTGGTAAGCTTCCTCTTTCCCTCCATTGTGTGATATTTTTCTGCTTTGTTGATCATTACTGACGCCCGCCGGAAGTCTATTTGGCTATAGGTAGTTTCTCGGTCGCTCTCTACATTTCATATTTTCAACATGTCGTCCCCTTCGCCCTCTCTGCGGAAGAGAGGCGGAAAGAAGGATGTTTACACCGCATTGCCCTCTGAGGATAGCTCGGCGCCCGTGTCAGTGCCGGTCAAACAGAAGTCGGAATGGGACTATTGGCTGGCCATAGTGATTCTCACCCTTCTGGCTTTCGCGACACGGTTCTACCGCCTCGATTACCCTAACGAGGTTGTATTCGATGAGGTTCATTTCGGCAAGGTAGGAGATCCAATGCCTCTTGTGGTGGCACAATCTACGGAAAAGGGGGCCCCTTGACTAACATTGATATTACTTGGATAGTTCGCTTCTTACTACCTTCAACGTACCTATTTCTTCGATGTGCACCCGCCTTTTGGAAAGCTGTTGTTTGCCCTCATGGGTTGGCTCGTGGGATTCGATGGAAGCTTCCTATTCGAGAACATCGGCGACTCTTACATCGAAAACAATGTGCCGTACCTCTCCCTCCGTGCCATGCCGGCTACTCTCGGTGCCTTGACAATTCCTGTGGTGTTCCTCATCATGTGGGAGTCTGGCTACTCTCTGCCAGCCTGTGTGCTGGCTGCCGGTCTGATGGTGTTTGACAACGCCCACGTGGGTGAGGACCGCCTTATCCTTTTGGACGCGACTCTCGTGCTGTCAATGGCACTCAGTATTTTGTGCTACGTCCGTTTCTACAAGTTGCGTCACCAACCGTTTGGCCGGAAGTGGTGGAAATGGCTTCTCCTGACCGGCTTCTGCATGAGCTGTGTCATCTCCACCAAATACGTTGGTTTCTTCACTTTCGTGACCATTGGGGCGGCGGTCCTCATTGACTTGTGGAACCTTCTGGATATCAACCGCGAGCAGGGAGCGCTGAGCATGATCAGCTGGGGCAAGCATTTTATTGCTCGCGCTGTTGGATTGGTCGTTATCCCCTTCATGTTCTACTTGTTCTGGTTCCAGGTCCACTTCGCTATTCTCAACCGGTCTGGCCCCGGCGACGACTTTATGACCCCCGAGTTCCAGGAGACTCTTAGTGACAACCAGATGACCGCTCAGTCCGTTGGCATTCAATACTTCGACACCATTACCATGCGCCACAAAGACACTAAGGTCTTCCTCCATAGCCACTGGGATAAGTACCCCCTGCGTTATGACGATGGTCGTATTTCCAGCCAGGGCCAGCAGGTCACCGGTTATCCCCACAACGACACCAACAACCAATGGCAGATCCTGCCGGCCGAGCCTCTGGCTGATCCGTCTGAGCCCAAGAGTGTACGCAACGGCGACATCATCCAGCTCCGCCACATTGGAACCGAGAGTTATCTCTTGACTCACGATGTTGCGTCTCCCTTCTTCCCCACCAACCAGGAGTTCACTACAGTTTCTCAAGAACTGGCTGACGGTGAGCGCCACAATGACACCCTGTTCGAGCTCAAGATCGAGGCGGGCAAGGCTGCCCAGGAGTTCCGTACTCTTGCCAGCCTGTTCAAGCTAGTCCACGTCCCAACTCGGGTCGCTTTGTGGACACACACAACCCCACTGCCAGATTGGGGTTACAAGCAGGCCGAAATTAATGGTAACAAGAATATCCTCCAGTCCAGCAATACGTGGTACGTTGAGAACATCGAGAACTTGGAGGAGGATAGTCCTCGCCTCGTCAAGGAGGAGCGTAAGGTCAAGACGCTGCCTTTCCTGCGCAAGTACTTCGAGCTGCAAGGTGCCATGTTCCACCACAACAACGCTCTGACCAGCAGTCACCCATATGCCACCGAACCCTTCCAGTGGCCATTCCTGTTGCGAGGTGTGAGCTTCTGGACTAAGAACGATACTCGTGAGCAGATCTACTTCTTGGGTAACCCCATTGGTTGGTGGATTGCCAGCAGTATTCTGGCCGTGTTTGCCGGCATTGTTGGTGCTGACCAGCTTTCGCTTCGCCGTGGTATTGATGCGTTGGAAGAAAGTAAGTCAAAAAACCAAACATACTACTCTTGTCTTGTTTTGTTGTTCCGGTAATTAACCCACGTTCATCAGTTTGGGGCCCCGGTACGCGCTCGCGTCTATACAACAGCACCGGTTTCTTGTTTCTGTGCTGGGCTGCGCACTATTTCCCCTTCTGGCTGATGGGTCGCCAGCGCTTCCTGCATCACTACCTGCCCTCGCACCTGGCCTCTACCATGGTGTGTGGCGCACTGATTGAATTCATTTTCAACCTGCAGCCGCTCGATCCCCGCACTGCACTTCCCCCTGTGGATGATCCCTCGGGCAAGTCCAAGGCGAGGTCGCTCAGCAGCCTGCGTCGGTTCATCACTGCCAAGGAGCGCATGGGCTGCAAGTCGCTCATCGCGGGCTGGATTGCCACGCTTATCATTCTGGCTGCTACTATCTGGGGCTTCATCTTCTATGCGCCTATAACCTACGGTACCCCCGGCCTCGATGTGGCGGGCGTCAATGCGCGCAAGTGGCTGAACTACGACCTGCACTTTGCCAAATAAGCTCCTCGGGGTCCTTGACCCAATCTGCGAGAAGGACCCATTCCAGACGATGGGCCGAACTGAAACTGCAAAGTCGCAATTTTTGTAAGATAACTTATAGTCCGTGATAAAAGGCCGGGAGGTGTTTTCTTTCTTGTGCACGATTGGAAACATGATGGAGGATTGATATCAGCCTTTTGGTATCGTTTGAAACCATTGTGTATGTATGTGCATGTATGTGTGGCCATTTGAGTTCTCTTTTTCTCCATCCCGGTGTAGTACATCTTCCGTGTCCATTAGAATCTCTCAGTCGAGTCCTGTGTTACTATTGGTGGTACGGGATTATCAGCCGACCGTGCAAGTTCTCCAATACACTGATCCAGGCCTGTTGTATTGTGTCAATTGGAGTAGATGCATGTATGTGGATACTCCATATGTGGATAGGAGATAGGAGTGCAAGAAGAATGTGCCAATGTCGATCGTGATCGACTTCACACGTGACGACGATCAATGACATGTGCGCATCGCATTGGAGCAGACGGGATTTTCATGTTTCGAGACTCCGTACTTAAAGTAGAAAGTACCTTTGATTATACGTACATGTGTAAAATGTGTTCTTTTGTCTGAATTAATATTCTAGACTATGTGCATATGCCTAGGCCCCTTTGCTTTCTCACATTCCAATTGATTTTGCCTTTTCATAAATGTGTTATTTTTAGACAGCGAAAAAAAAAAAACAGCCCACTGTTTATGTACAAAGAGACTTCCCACTTACTATGTATAGTAAACGGTTTCACATTGAAGTCCTATGAAATCATGGAACCTTGGGCCGAATTTTAGGGTAAAATAATATAGCACATAATATATATGTACATATGTAGGTAGTATTACTAGTTAGTAATTGTACTAATAATACTCGAATGCCAATAGGAATAGTCAAAATACTCAGACCACATCTGGACAACTCCCGGATACCAAAGGGACTAGACTTGTCAGTAGCGTCTTCTCTTTTTTTGCCTCTCTTTTTACTCCGTACTTCGTACACATTCTCTCTTTCTTTTCCTTTTCATTCTTTACTTTGGTTTCTAGGGTCTCTCCACTCCGCGCATCTTCAGTTCTCATTGGTGTTCTTTGAGAGAACTGAAACGGACATTTCCGCGTCTCACCCGATACCTATGGTGGGTTCAAATTCTTCCAGAAAAAAAAAGCACATATTCAAGGGCCAGCAAGGAATTTGGGAATAATTATCCAATTCGTTGTGAGATGCCATCGGATCGGACAGATGCAAGACAACCCACTCTGTGGATTCCTGCCGTGTCTTTCATCGGCCGCTACTCCGTGGACAACCCATGTTGTGCTTCGTCTATCCCTGAAAGCTCCTGACTGACTTCAATTCTTTCTCAGCTTAACCCCTAAGCTTTGCTTTGTTTACACTCGATCGTTATACCTATCTATTTGGATTGATCGCTTCTTCGTTTCGGGCATCACTTGCATTCGACACATCACCCCCAGAGGGCCACACCCCCAAAGATCGTCCAAACCTTAATGAGATAGCTGACTCGCAACGCACTGGCCGGTTCTTCAAATATCAGCCTGGTCTGTCTATACCAGTCGCTTCCATGCCTATGAAACTGCCCAAGAGCTTTACGAGGCGGAAATCGTCCGGCAATGTTCTAGACGAAGTGGAAACCCCTCACCAATCCTCCTTTCGAGTCTTCGAGCGCCCGGGGCCTCATCGATCCATGACGGATGGAGCGGCGCTGACGAAGCCGCTGAGTGAGGGCCATACGGTACCGTCGATGACAGAGGATCCCGATAACATTTTTGCGGAGAGGGAACGACCCCTGGACAAGAGCCGGTACGAT